CCTTGGTCACGGTGAATGAGCTTTTGACCCGTGAGTGGGGTGGCTCTGCTCTGCCGCTCCAGAACAGTTGTCTTTCTTCTGTGTAGCCAAACCTTTGCTTTGGCTCATTTTTCTCTCTTTTGTTTTCTCAATTACTTTTCTTTTGTTACTCTTACTTTTCTTACTGTTTAACCTTTTTTCCCCCTCCACTTTAAGTCTCTCATCTTTCTTCTTCCCTCTTAACACAGCTGACCAGTACAGACTTGATGCTGTGCTGGATCCCCTGGATGGAGTTAAATCCAGTTGGCGGCTGGTCACAAGTGGTGTTCCCCAGGGCTCAGTTTTGGGGCCAGTTCTCTTTAATATCTTTATCAATGATGTGGATGAGGGGAGCGAGTGCACCCTCAGTAAGTTTGCTGACAACACCAAGTTGGGAGAGAGGGTTCATCTGCTTGAGGGTAGGGAGGCTCTACAGAGAGATCTGGACAGGCTGGATCGATGGGCTGAGGCCAATTGTATGAGGTTCAACAAGGCCAAGTGCCAGGTCCTGCACTTGGGTCACAGCAACCCCATGCAGCACTACAGGGTTGGGGAAGAGTGGCTGGAAAGCTGCCCAGCAGAAAAGAACCTGGGGGTGCTGGTTGACAGCCGGCTGAGTAGGAGCCAGCAGTGTGCCCAGGTGGCCAAGAAGGCCAACGGCATCCTGGCCTGCATCAGAAATAGTGTGGCCAGCAGGAGCAGGGAGGTGATTGTTCCCCTGTACTCGGCAATGGTGAGGCCGCACCTCGAGTCCTGTGTTCAGTTTTGGGCCCCTCACTACAAGAAAGACATTGAGGTGCTGGAGCATGTCCAGAGAAGGGCAACCAAGCTGGTGAGGGGCCTGGAGCACAAGTCTTATGAGGAGCAGCTGAGGGAGCTGGGGCTGTTTATCCTAGAGAAGAGGAGGCTGAGGGGAGACCTTATTGCTCTGTACAACTACCTGAAAGGGGGGGGTTGTAGTGAGGTGGGTGCTGGTCTCTTCTCCCAAGTAACAAGTGACAGGACAAGAGGAAATGGCCTCAAGTTGCAGTAGGGGAAGTTTAGATTGGATGTTAGAAAAAATTTCTTTACTGCAAGGGTTGTCAGGCATTGATTGGCACAGGCTGCCCAGGGAAGTGGTTGAGTCATCATCCCTGGAGGGGTTCAAAAAATGCGTAGATGTGGCACTTCAGGACACAGTTTAGTGGGCATGGTGGTGGTGTGTTGATGGTTGGACTCGATAATATTAAAGGTCTTTTCCAACCTAAACGATTCTGTGATTCTATGATTCTGTTCTGTGACACAGAGTAAAAGCACATCTTCCATGTGCCACCTGAGTCAACATGCATGTGTGCGCATGTGTCTGCTATCTGTATTCTTGTTTCTAGCTCTACTAGAAGCCATTATTAACACAGAGGGGGAAAGCAGATGGCTTTCAAGGAGATAGCAGCTATTTAAAAAAAACAGCAGAAGGATTTTTGAGCTTGGAAGTAAGATGGAGTCAATTAATGCCATTTTTTCCTATTCCCTCACTACTGCTGTTCCCTCCCAACTATTAAAACTTCTTTTAAAAATAATTAACTGAAGCTTTCTGCATAATCCAAGCCCTTCTTCTTTGCATAAAGACAACCAAGATCCCTTTTCTACTGCCGAAAGTGTTTGATTAGCACTCATCTTGCACTTAAAAACCTCCAACAGGCTTATCCTCCACTTCTGTCTTTTAATGTAAAAGTGCCCTAAAAAGGAAAGAATTATGCAATAGAAAGTGGCAGTACTTTTTTTACATCAGGTTCAGTGCACTCTTGCATTCATGTTCATTGATCATAATATGAGCATGTTACTCAGTAATTTGCTTTTCTGAGCAGCCATGAACATTAAACTCCTGAGGATTTCATGGCCTTGAGGTTAGTAGCTTCTTGGGAGCAGGGTGTTAAACTGTATAGCAGATTTTATTTGTCAAGTTTCATTTTTGCCATGGCAGAAAACTAGCAGAATGCTTTTTCCATGGGTGTTTCCTTTGGTCTGGCTAAAACAGATTACTGACGAGGGAAGAGCAAATTTCCATTCTTCTGCACATCTGCTGAATGTTCCTTCCCCGCACAGAGGACTGTGGTTCAGCCACAGACATAGGAATGAACAGGATGGAGTGTGATGGGTCTTGAAACGCCTTTAGGTGACAGAAACTGGCTGTAATTCTACTTCTTTTTAATAAGGATTGTTGATTTTTGGTGCTTGACTTTGGAAACTGTCAAGCAAACAAAAAGCTGACTGTGTCTTATGTTCGTGTCTATTATGCAGAGCTATGTTGGAAAACTACATAATCTCTTATATTTTCCATTTAAGAAAATACAGAAATTCTATAATTCCTATATAATCTCTTATATTTTCTATTTAAGAAAATAATTTTAAAGAAATGAGATTGTTTTTCCTTTTTCTCCTGGGAGCAAGTAATAGTTCTGGACACCCAGTGAGTACTTTGGGTAGAAAGCCTCATTTTACTGTTGTTATTTAACTAGGATTTTGTGATTTTATTCATGATTTTGAAGGCTTGGGGTAGAGGGGAGAAGGAGAAAGCCAAAGCAGGAGCAGGAGTGAAGGTCACATATTATGAGCTTTGCGCATTGTTGTCCAGGTATGGTTGAATTCACTGAATTTGCTGGTCAGCAAATTATCATGTACCTCACATAGTCTTTGAATACCAGTTGGGGTAAGGAAATGGACAATAGCTACAGAGAAACTTTGGGCAGATTCCTGATTACCTGGCACCTCAATAGTGCTAATGGATACTTTGAATTTTCTTCATTTTCAGAGGATTTCCATAGTTCTCATGAGAATTAAGTACTAGCTGACTATTCGATTGGCAGAGGTATCGTATGGCTTGGTATTATTGTTATTTTTGGCATAAATGTAAGCAAAGCCCACGGACTGTTCAGACTGGGTTAGTTCGCATGCAAGCTTGACCATCAAAAGATCGATCAGTTGTAATAATCAATGTTTGAAAGATACAGTATAAAATAAAGCATCTGGAGCCGCAAATATGTACAGAATAGTGAAAACTTTAGTTTTACCTGCAAATTCATTTTTTTCTGAGGTAATGTATTTAAGAATTCTAATAAATATTCTGGCAGAAAAGCTGTTGATGGCAGAATTGTCTCATGTTTTAAATAATATGGGTGGCAGAAGCAGAGAAAAATGATGCACTTAAGTGACACTTTCAATATATTTAGAAAAAAAATCAGTGATGTACACTTCACTAAACTGTACATTTTATTCCCTGTGGAAAGTTAGTCTGCCCAGTCTGCCCAGTAGCTGATAGGTGATCTCTTGGATATTTGCCACTATGTATTCACGACATGTAGTTGTGTTATAATAATTTTACAAGTATGCTACATTTATTATCTGTGATTAAAACTTAACCACAAACTACAAAATAACTAAGCAAATGCTTTGTTTTGTCCAGAAAGTAATTAAAACATATCCTTTGTAGGCAGATAGAGAAAGGAAATGTGTGGAAGAGTTCTTAAGCTCTCTGTAGCCTGATTTCCTCAGAAAGATTAGATGAAAAGTCATAGACTGTGCATTCAAAACCTGAGGCATGCTGCATTAATCTTTTGTCCTGCTTGCACTTGTCCAGTAGAAAGCTCTTAGCTCAGATGTGTGCGGGTTAAGCGTGTGTGTAAAAGCTTGGTGAATGGGGATACTGAAACTGAGATTAATCTTGCCAGACTTCAGTCACCTAAAAGGTGCCTAAGTTTAAGACAAGTATCTAGGCTCCTTTGATAATTAATGTCTTGAAACAGGTACTTCCAGAGTGCAATCTCAGATGGCTAAGAGAGGTCGATAAATTATAGAGAGAACAACTAGCTGTTAGCTGAAGTTAGGTGAAAGGAAAGCCTCTCTGTCATGACCTCTTCTGCATGTGAACATCTTCGACAAATTGTGGTCTCACACATCCCTATCTTATTCCCATTGCCCACACACGATGTTTGGACAATGCTGTATATAGATATATCTGAATCTTTGTGTGACTCATATGCATCATGCTAACAACATAAGCCATATATGCACCTTCAAAGTCCAAATATTTCTGCAATAATTATGTGTACCATCCCAATGATGACTGACTTCTTCTTCCACCGTGGACCCGTCAGGGCTCAAGAACATAGTTGTGAGTGGTATTATCAGTTAAGATCGTTCTTCTGCAGATTGTTCTGTGTTCTGCAATCTCAAGGCAGGATAAAACTTTATGCTGTCCTCTGAGGAGAAAGTTGACAACATCAGTTCAGGGCAGGCTCGGATTTCTGAAATATTTTGTTTGCAAAAGATGCAGGTATGTACTTATTGGAATTTCTAAAACACATAATTTTTTTATAAGTCTGTCCAATAGGGAAATTTCATTGTGGTAGTGAACTGTGCTATTTTAGAGCTTCTCTTTAGCTTATTTTTATAATAACATTGCCTTACATTAATTAGCATAGTGCAAATGCAACTGTGTTACTATATCAAAAGCTGTGTATCTCTGCGAGATAATATTCCACTTATGACCATATTCCATAGACACTATCTATTCCACATACTAGCAATGGACTGCTGCTCAGACTATGCGTTATTGGTAGTGCAAAAAAAAGGTATTAAATCCAAAATATGGTAGAAATGCAGAGTCTTATAGGATAACTTGTAAAAGTAATAAGAATTTAAAAGTAAAATGTGACTATGGAACATTTTTTTTGCCATTTCACCAGCCTAAACCTTTGTGTTCGTACATAGAGCTGCTAACAAGGTAATTGTAAACCAGGCCAGTGCTTTTAAATTAAATTTAAACTGTATGAATGGTCATCAGAGTAAAATAAATTTATACCAGTCACACTCAGAGTGATTGTTCTTAGATGCTGAAGGATATACAGTGATGGAAAAATATGCTTTGTCAGTGCTTTGTTTAACATGTTTGCTTTTTTTCCTCACAGTACAGTGCTGTGGATACAAATCCTTTATCGGTGTATATTATGCAGCCCATCTGGAACAAAATTATTAAGGTAAGAATTTTATTAATAGAGATATCACATGATAATGTAAGAATTTGTTTTAAATACAGCATGTATTTTAATTTAAAAATACATATTGATTAATAAAGCTGAAATTAAGACATCTGTATAAGAGAAAAACGTTACAGGATATATAGCTATATTTAAGATGAGTATGTTTGGATTTTGTGGTGGGTTTTTTTAGAAAAACAAGGTGGTGGTTTTTTTCTGATTGCTATACAGAAGGCATCTGTTTCTTTTTTACATCTTTCATTATTACATCTTTCATTAAACTGCTTTGCTGACATTGAAGGGTTTACTTAGTACAAATTATTTTTGTGCAGCATATGCTGCCTAACAGCAGCATGGCTTTATCTCTGTGCTGTGCACATGATTTTATGCAAGTGCTGTCTCATTTTCTCCCAAGGGTGCTTGCTCAACGGAGCTAGGCATTTCTCTAAGAAGCTGAAAATGAGAGCGGTTACCATGATCACCGTAACAATTGGAAGATGGCATCTCTCGAATGCATTATCATCTGCAGTTTTTAAAAATAAAGCTGCTCACAATTAGTTTTGCTGTTGTGGGCAAAAAAAAGGCTGTATCTCAAATAGACATGAACTTTATTGATCTGCAAGCAAGCAATGACTTCTGCATCTGCCTCTTTAGAGGAAATCTTTAGATTGGAGCAGACTTGAAAACAAACCTTTATACAAACAAAAAAGGGTGTATGTGGTTAGGGTGCTGTTGGATTTGCCATCTTTGGGATCTGTAATTCAGGTATTGCTTATGCTTGATATAGCAGGAAAATCATAATCTCTCATTCATAGCCTCAGTGTAATTTCATGGAAGTGTTTATATGACCTAACTTAAGCAATTCAAAGATGTCAAACTGAATTCAATAATTCAGTTCAGAGACTCTGTTTTCATTCCCATCATAATATTGAGGAAAACAATGAGGTAGAAAAGCCCCCCCAGCGCTCTGGAGTCCGGCATGGTCGATGAGCAGAAGCTTTACTGTGCACTTGCACTTTGGTTTAGGAGATCCATGGGTATTCGTCTGCTATCAGATTGAAGGGAGTGTATTATCAGCGAAAAACTTCCTTTGGACATACGTTCTTCTAATGGTTGCAGGGTTTTCCCAGAAGAAAAGGAACATTCTTGACTGTCCCCATGTAGCATAGGGTGATAGATACTATAAAAAATGTGACCTCTTTAGATTTTTTTAAACCTCAAATTTTAGGTGAGCATGACTTTGTTCACTTCTTGCTGGAGGAGAACCCAAACCAGAGCACAGGACTGAAAACCTCTTTCAAAAGCTGGGAGATCTGAGTACAGAACCAAAGACCAGAGTGGGTGCTGTCTGTACTTTGGCATTTGCTTTGGTTTGAACACTGAAGATAGATACAGCAATGAATGTTCTGCTTTGCCTTCTGCTGCAAGCACGTTGCAGGATAATTCTCAGTGATGTGTCACAAGGATTTAAAGGGAAATGATATTGCTCTCAGGTTTTGTAGAAATAGTCATTCTAATGTTAAAAGATACTGCCAGGTCAAATCAGAGTCCTGCAGAGGAGCCGGGAATGCACAGCTGCAGAGGGGAAAGCAGTATGTAATGGAGGTTGCAGTACAGTCATCTTGGTTGCTCCTAGAGATAAAAGTGAGAACTAGGGGAGCACCAAACTTCTTGGCCAATATTTAACTGTTTGTAAAATATTAGTAGGAACGGAAGTTGCTAGAATGGTTTTGTTCCTGGCTTGATACTGAAACCAGGTGTGGCAATAACTGTTGTCCTAAACTCAGTCCAAGAAAATTCTGCTCATCTGTTCACCAAAAATTACTTTTTTTCTCTTGAAGTGTAAGTAAAACAGTGGTATCATAATAAATGTGATCAAGTCTTATTTTTAGAAGGAGAAGCTTTGAATGCGTTTACTCGTCATTGATTTTTTGTAGCTTGTATCTGGTGTGAGCATATTACAACTGGGCTATGAGCATGCTCTAGACTATAATATTCTGTGATATAGAATATAATATTGAATTTACATTTTACAATATATCATCATATTTCTATTTAAATAAAAGTGCACTGCAATATGGAGATATAGTAAAGCTGGGATAATTTTTTAAGCAGAAGAAACATTGCATCTAATATATTAATTCAAAATTGGGCAGTACAAGTGTGCTTTTTAATGAGTGGGAGAAGTAATTTCTCCCCATTCAGACATCCTAATACATCCATTTGCAGTTATGAATCAATTATCTTTTAGTTTCTAATCTGGTGAAAATAAATATTCCACAGGGACTATTTTTACCAGATTCTAGAGAAGTCAAGCAGAGCCAAGCAAAAAAAAAAAAAAAAAAAAAATCTATGAGAACAGAGGCTTGGGATTTGGGTCTGGCCTTTCATATGTCAATTTAGTTCTAATTGCAACACAAGTTTCTCTGTATTCCGTAACACAGAATTCTTTGGAAGATGTGTTTCCTATGTTATGAGACATTATCATTCATTGTAAGATGTATTTCCTATGTTACAAGAAATTAAGAAGACCCTGATATTAGAGAAGATATGGGAATTTATGACCTGGGATGTTGACATACGTAAGAACTGAAAAGATTTTGTCATAACCCAGCTCATTTACCTGTGGTGGGGATGCTAGGAAAGAAAGAATTCGTGCATTTAAGTTAGAAATTCGCCTGGAAATCCTGAGCATTACCTTCCTATCTTTCCTCTTCCAAGGACATCTTTCTTATGTACTGTATCGTGTGCCTGTGTCAGTTTGAGTGTGATTTTTGGCTTATGTGCTTCAGAAATGTGTTGAATCTGGTGCTAAAGCAGAAAGTGAAGGGTAATATTTCATGCCTGGATTCCATACTGGGCTTGAAGTACTCTGAGATACTCCTGTCTGTGGCAGCTTTTCCATGTTCTGTGAAACTGTAGTAACACCTATATGAAACTACAGAGTAATGATTAACTTTCTCTCCATGTTATTTAAAACTATTCTGAATATGCAACTATAGGTATTTTGTCTTTAATTCAATGCTCTATCTTTTTGCCTTTAATTAAGATTTGTATGTTATAATAAAGCACAATCATGTGCTCTCTGACAGATAATGGAAAGTATTACTTAGCTACTACACGAACTGAACATTCCTGCTCTATTTTTATTCATGAGAAATCACATTTGTGCAGGACAATGACAGGAAAAGGAGAAAATCCCACTGGGATACACAGGTGTGTGCCAGCTTCACTGAAGTCAATTAACCTCCCCTCTGTTGCCTTATGAACTTTGATTTTATCACTAGAATTGGGCATGAGTAGAATTTTAGTGGTCTCAAGTGACTTAGTTAAGGCATATTTCAAGTTTGAGCAGAGCTTTATGTAAATATGTGTAAGCTTTATATAAATATGTGTACTCTACCATTTATTATCCAAATAGACAGTCGATATATTAAAACATTTACTCTTTTTGTTAAGGCTTTTAGCATGAATGGCTGTAGACCCATTATAACAGAAATCTGTTAGTATTTTGTGGAACTGAAAGTTTTTTAAAAGGTTCAAGCATGCAATGGTTTTGCCAGAGAGCAGACATGATTCTCCCCAGTGGCACCTCCAGTTTTATTAATCACATAGCGCATTGATGTATTAGACTTCTACTGTCTGTTAATTAGATAATAAAGATTGCGATGTATCCTTCTATAGGATACTAGTAAATTCAGGCTGTATTTTTCCAATATGTGTAAGCAGTTAATCTTTAACACCCTGTAGTTTTTGAATTGTGAAATAGGATGATGGTAGTGTAATGCCAACCAAAAGAATAAGGGGCATTAAATATAATAAAAGGGATTTTTCAGCTGGAATACTTTCCAAATACCTAGAGAGATTAGGTTCGGTAAGGATCAAAGGAGTATGCTTAGGGGTTTAACTGCAGGAGAGGCTGTTTTCCTGAGGATAGGTCTCCTGTAACTGTTTTTCATAGTGTGTCTACTAGCCAAAGGGATTGCAAGATGGTTTTCTTCTTAAAATACATGATGTTAGCAAGAAAGTGGGTAAAAAGAATGTCTTCATGTTTGCACTGTGTAAGCATAAATTATTTCCTGTAATAACTTAATGACATTGTGACTATTTAGAATGATGAGCCTAATTAGAAAGCAGACATTTACAGCGCCCCACTTTATTTAATAGTCAACAATTACTATGAATCATATGGGAGAAATCAGTCATTTTAAAACGATACATTGGATGGCATCTGTGTAGCCATGTAAATTGTTCATCCACAGGTTGTCTTAACGCACTATTTTGATCTATGTTTTAGATTAAAAGAGACCAATCTAGAATTTCTTCAGCGTCTGTCCTTATTTCATGTAAGGTCATAGACATCAGATGAATTCCACAGCAGGCAATTCATACCAAGCCTCCGTCTTACAAGGTTTCTGCATCCCCAGGTAGCAAAATTAGGAGAAGTGCCACTGTTGCTGCATGCTGAGCATGCCGTCAACGTAAGAAGAGGGGACCATGCAGTGAGGGGTTCCTCTGCAGACATTCTTCTAAAGGAGCTTCAGGGAGCATTTGCTGTCACTTGTTCTTAGGGATTTAGAATTGGGCTTTTGAAGACTCAGAATGGTAGATACGTTAAAAAATTTTATTGTAGCTGTGTGCATTCTGTGATGTATTTTAAATACTGTAGGAGCTGACATATAGTATTTTAAAATTAGTGTTAAAATCCTGGTCATAAGGAAAGCAACTATCAGATTTATTTTTTTTCCCATTGTTATTAAAGAAAACATCTAAGAAATATAACTGAAAAATATTCAGGAATTTTCATCTGATTTTTGAATGTTTACACTGTACAACATCAGTTGCACAATTTCTCCTGAATATTATTAATTGTTCTATAGTAGAAAAAGAGGATCTAGTCAGGATAATTAATCAGTCCAAGCATTCAAATTTCGTATGCAAATTTTTCATGTAGTAATAGGATAGAGGAAATTTAAAGATGTATATAAATTAATATGTATTCATCTGTCCATCTAGCTAGTCCAAAGAAATTAACAAAACATTTTATTTCAAAACTATTATTAGTATCTGAAACTATTTAACTTCTTTTTCTTTAATATTGTTTTGTAATATTTTATAGCGTCAAAGTACTTTATGTACATTTTCAGTCCTTAGACACTCCAAAGAATTTGATTATAAACCTCCAATATTTTTATATTTTGAATATATTGATACTGTATTTGACTGATGCTAGTGGTTGATACTTAGTATTTCTGCAAATATGTTCTGTCTAAAAATCATGTAGAAAGCTGTGTATGCTATTTCTGAAAATATTGTGGAGAAACTGCGTTACTTGGGAAGAGTATTACCAAAAAGGATGGATCCCTGTCGCAGTGTAAGGAATACCTTAAAGCCGCAGGGAATGAATAGCTGAAAACAGTTAATGGGACAAAGAATTAAAGGCTTAGGTGAAGACACAGAGTCCTTTTCAGCACTCTACAAAGTAAAATGAATTAATGGAGTGTTTATAATTTATGACTAAAGAGGGAGACCCTGCAGAAAGTTACTGTCTAGAGAAGTAGGGAGCTGCTTGTAACAGGGAGATCTTCTGAATCTAAAAGTGTAATGCACTCAGTGTCTGATTTTGTTGACATTTTGAGTTGGAACTTATTGACATGTTTTAGAAGAGGAAAGTTCCTTGTTATAGCATGGGAATAGAATGCTTAAAAAAAACTGCCATATGGATGCTGAATTACCACACTGGGGTGCTGCAGTCTTCTTTCAGTTGATACACACAATTGCGAGAAGCTTTCCTTGGTGGCTGGGAAAATAAGGATAATGTATAACATAGGAAATACAACATTTTTAAATGACATTTTTACTGCAGTCACAAAGATCAGGCAAAAGTATTACATTTGAAAATAAATTTCAGAAATGAAAGTTGTATTTTATTTTGAAAATGGGAAAATATGCACAAATCTGGACGTTGCTGATGTCATATACAGTCTTCTCCTTTCCTGATAAAAAATACAAAGTTTAAATTTATTTAATTAAAATAGGACTTACAATTTGAAATATAATTTTTCTTAGATTTTTTTCTTTCTTTTTTAACAGATAGTGCCTTTGTGGATTGCTCCCAACCTGTTAACATTCTCTGGATTTGTCATGATTTTAGTTAATTATTTTTTAATATCTTTTTATGACTGGGACTACACTGCCTCAGGTAAATATCCTCATGCTGTAATTTTTCAGAATTAGTGAACTGCTTATGTCATAACTCTGAATGATACAGGGAGGTATGAGATACTCGAATCTTGCACTAATTCCCTTGATGAGGTTCCATGTGCATATAGGAGGATCTGACCTCACGCATGGCTTTATAAATTTACATCATTTTATCTTAAATCTTATTTAATTTCATCCCTAAATATGGGTTTTGGCATGTGCTGCTTGAAGTCTCTGATGATATCTCATTTTATTTAAAGTGTATTCCAGTGTTTAAATACACAGCCAAAACCCACCCTAATGTTCTTCATACAATTTTCATTGGTTTCACATTTCCTAATACCTAAATCGATGCCTAAATAAGTTAATTTCCCTTTCATTACCCCCCCCTTCAAGACTGCTTGTAGACAAAGAAGAAATAGTTTCTCAATAAATGTCTCTTGAAATTATGACTTTCAAAGTCCAAGTCCATATTTGCTCCTCACAGCAGACCAAGTCAAAAGCTTTTTGGAGGTGATTGCGCCTGAGCGCAGGGCAGCTTCAGTTCTGGGCTTCTCAGACCAGCCGTTGGAGCCTACAGAAAGTAGTAAGCATCTCCCAGGTGATTAACATAAAAAAAAATCTTTGTTTTTCTTTAAACTAGACAATTTGGTGAAGACTTAACACTTTTATTTCCTGAAACAATTACATTTGAGTTTTTTTGCTGCCTGTAATTTCTTATGCCTGTGGCTAGGTTCAGGAGGTACCCTTTGGCGTGAGCTGTTTGTACATTTATCACAACAATTCTAGAGGCAGGGATACTTGTTAGCAGTTTTGGTTAAAAAATAATCCTGTGTGAGCATTAAGTTTTCAGGACCAGCATATTATGTAGTTATCTGGCCTCATCCTTAAACACTTGTTTTTTTATCAAAGCAGCTGATATTTACTAAGTTCTGTAATAAAAGAGCATCCAGCACAGATCTTTCAATGGGATAATTTTATCTTGACACATTCCCAGTAGATACACATTGAACTCAAAAACATTTGAAATGCTGATTAAGTCTGTTAAAGTTGAAACCTCGATGTGTAGTTTGCAAGCCTCTTCTCGATTTCACACGAGAGCAGTGCCCATCATTTCTCAATTGATTGAAAACGTTCATGCAACCTAATGAGCCTTTTGAGTATCATATATCAATCCCATACCTCGGATCAGAAATAAAAGACTTAATTTCCTGGACAGCTGGTTTTCATTCTACAGTTTGAAAATTTGCAGCTAGGAGTCAGGAATTGCCATCTTTTCTTTCAGAGTGGCAAGATGAGGCATCGAGAGAAAGGTGGTCAGGGCACTGCTTTAGGTACTGGCCTCTCCCTGTTCGGCAAGGACACACCTCTGAGTCCAAGTATTCCTTGTGTTCAGTGCCGAGTGCCAGAAACCTGAGAGGGCTTTGCATGTACAGTTGTTTAGTGCTGGTGTAGTCCTTATTGGATTATGTTTAAGTTAAATAGAATGCTCTTTGGAAAAAGGCTTAATTGCTTTAAAAAAGCAACAATAACCGTGTGTTATTGCTATCAGCAGAGCAATAACAGAACTCTGGGTTCTGTCCAATTCAGCTTTCTACTCCTTTTTTTCAAGGAAAAAAGAAAAAAGGGTGCTAATATCTGCCCTAGCCTAAAGACAAAAATTTCCTGTTCAGATACGTATGATAAAAGTGCTACACTAACCCCATGTTGGCACTAATAATAATGATCGTGCTTGAAAACTACATTTTTTTGTCTTTAGGTATTACACAAACATTAACTGATTTGTAGATGGATAGTCTCCCTATGACCTACGAAAATTTTTGCCTAGTAACTATCATTATTTTGTGCAATACTAGAGTCATTTCAAGACCAGAAAAACTCTACTTTGTCTTCTCTCCTTTATGGTGTAAGCACTTCAAGCCTGCTCACTGCTTCTTTGATAGAGCTCACTGATGACTTAAGATCAAAAAGAACTATTTCAATCTGTTTGGTGTAGTGGGCTAATCAGTGGCAGCTTGTTCATACGTATATGCATATCTCGGTGGATTTCTTTGATGTTAACCACTGTTACACTGACTCACTACCCGATTTATTTTAGGTACCAGTCCTGGACTTGTTCCCACCTGGGTGTGGCTGTTCAGTGCTTTTACCACCTTCTGTGCTTACGCTTTAGGTAAAGTACAATGAAATTATTTACATGTCTAATGTCTTCATATAGTTTTATCTACTCGTTCTCTAGTGCTGATACTGAGATGAAGAGGCATCATGGATAAATTATTGATGTCTCTCTAAAACAGTTCTCTGAGATTAAAAAAAAAAAACACCAAAAACATTCATAAGACTTAAAAAAACCCAAATAACAGCATTTTTATTATAAATTAGAGGTTCTGTGACTGTAGCTCTATCCCTCTTGAAAGTTCAAATTGTTTTAGAGAAACAATGGAAATCATTACGTAGCAGCAGTCAGTGCTGGTGGGTTTCGTAAAAATCTTTGGCCCCCAGTGATGACATTCTGAAAAGCTCCCTGACACCAGCATTAGCAGAGGTTGCTTTCAAAGACAGGGAGAATAAAGGGCAAAGCCGAGAAAAAGGAAAATGAGTGTAGCATTGTGTTTTAAACTCTTAGGCACTTCAGTGCTTATGGCATGTGTCAGGAGAGATGGTATGAATGTGGTGACAGGCCTGAGCTTCTTATGGAGATGAAGTATTTTTTTTCTTTCCTGTTGCTGTTTTTCTCCCATAACACCTATACTTCAGTTTCAGTTTTGTATTCTATTTTTACTTTTTATATCATACCATGACTGTATTTTTAGGTACATTGCACCTTGCTGTGCAGTGGTGTGAAGACATAGACCTGAACTGATGCATATCTGGGAGTGAGATCCACATTAGCATGGCTTTTTTGCTTGCTCTTCCAAAGCTAACTCATTCCAAACTAGTCTTTCCACAACGTGGTGCAACAGAGTTAATTTGGGGGGGGACACACAGTAGTATATTTATATGGACTGCACTGTGCTGTGTAAATGTACCCTCTCTTTGGAGCCAGTTCTTATAAGGCCCTGCATTGCAGAGTGTAGCCATACACTTGTGTGCCATACTTAAGATACCCGGCTAGATATAAATGTGTTCTAGATGTACACTGAGGTGTTGTACAGAGATGCTGGCCACTTTTGGTATCAGACCCATGGATGTAGAGCCATCTTGATTAACCTGAGGATGTCCTCTTGTGCAGACATCTCCCTCTGCATTGTAAGTGCCTTGACATTTCTATTCAAGTGGCGAATTTGTGCCAAAATTATTCTGTCCAGAATTTCTTTGTATTTGTACCATAAAAATCACTGGGACAACCGTCCCTTGAAGCTGACTACCAGTCAGATTTCCCTAACAGCTCTCTATAATCATTAGCAGAAGCAACAGTTTCTTTTGTGAAAACCATTCTTTATGTAATTGTATGGAATTTAATGAAATGGCTATTGTTTCATAAACAGGAATTACATATTGGAGCTGTTAGTGTATGACACCCTAGAAAGCTCATTGGAAATTCAGCTTCTGAGATTCTTAATGTAGATGTTATTTGCCAGTGAGGCCTATAGTTCCTAATACTTGGAAGACAAGGAATATGATGTTGACAGTCAAAGCTATAATGAACTGATGTATATGTAGATTTTTATGTCTGCTGTCCAAGCCACTTCATGAAATATTTAGTCTCAGATTTAATTCTGCATGGCCAAAGTTTTCCCTTTGGAAGACTGCAAAGAGCCATAATAACTAACCAAATATGCAGCTTTAATCTCTCTCAGCTTCTTTTTAATGACACAGTTACTCTCTCCAAATTCCCTAGCATGCTGCTCTTTTTTTTTTCCCCTTTGTTAAGGTGGTTTGGTATCTTTTCCCTTTCCATAAAATGGAGTGCTCTTTGCTGTTATTTTGAATTCCACTATTTAAAAGTTATCTAAACTTTAAAAAAACTGAAGATTTATGAACGATTATGAGACAAAATCATAGCATAAGCATTCTAAAGCAATGAAGTGTGGGACAGTGTATGTCCACTATTGAACATACACCTTTGTTGGCATGAATGATTTAAAACTGAAACCTAAACCAGAAAATATTTTCACTCTCTTAAAAAGTTAGTGAAACCACATGGAAAATGTGGGTAAAGATTTGTGAAAATTGAATTTTACATATATGTTATACAATTCCTGTATTTTTCTCCATGCCCATTATAATTAGACGTACTGTATTTCATGACATCATTATAAGCCTAACTCTTTTTAGTAAAACTAAAGGTTCCTGCAAAATGAAAACCACTCTTTCACTGTGGTGTACATATTTTAGTATCTAATGTGAATATTTTTTTGTGACACCCTAAAATAATTTATGAACAGACAAATCTTCCATCATTCTCATTTTTAAAAGGTATTACCTCTACGACAGAATCCTCTCTGATCTGGGATAGATGTTCTTGAAATATAAAAGACCATAAACTGTTAAGGAATGTTTGCATACCTATTTGCTAGTTAAGTTTCAGGAGCATCCTTTAACAGACTAAAGAATTTCTAAATTTATAGCAACAGTATTCAACTAACCTCAAACTTATACAGTTTTCTTTCTGCACATTTCAGTAAGATGTGGACAATTCAATGGTAATGTTAACAGAGAGAGAATGTGGCTCTAGAAGGGGGCAAGCCATAATTGAAATCCTCTATGAGATCTTTAATTTTTAGAGTTGTGAGAAATGTCTCAAGTGATTTGTATTTGAGCAGAGGATATCTCACAGCTGTTTAGGTATTACAATAGGGAGATAGTCTAAAATCTGTACAAAATGAAATCCCATGTTTTCCTGGTTTAGATCCCTGAAGTATATTTACATTAAACAAAACTCAGAGTACTGCCAAATAATCTGGAGAAGTAAGTAGCATATGATGTATAGCAGCTGTGGAGTCTTTGGTCTCACTCTGTTGCGTTGTATCTCTAGTCAGTTTTGGGTTACTAATGCTATCAATAGCTAATAATTGTTAGCTATAGTACCTTCCAGGTAACATTAAAAAGAAGAAAATTCTCCATGTTATTTTGAGATTCAGGATAACAATAAGTAATCTGTAATGTTTGTTCTGTCTACTTTTTCCTAAGAGGTTCGTCCTGCGTATTTACGCTTAACTTTAAGAAGGAAATATTTCCATTTTGCACCAGCACAGTCTCAGAGAAGAGACTAAGGGTATGGTTTGACAATAAACTAAGAAAGGTTACAGCTACTAGACTCCCTTCCTCCTCCTTCTCCCTGCATTCACTGTCCCTCCCTTGTGCCATCTCCTTTGCTTTTTGTACCATTCACAGTGCCAATTCTGTTCAGTTACCCAGAAGAAAACCTAATGTTCACTGTCTTTCCACCAGCTGAGCAGGCTGCAGGTCCTCCCTTGTTCAATAGCAGTGAACTCTCAGCTCGACTCAAACCATATTGTCCAAAGGCATCCTCAGAGTGAGATCCAGTACAGTATTTGGGCATCTTTCAAGCACTTAAATATTAAAAGTTATCAACACATACCTCACCTTAACAGTAAGGTATTCTTAGAATCGTAGAATCATAGAATCACTTAGGTTAGAAAAGACCCTTAAGATCATCGAGTCCAACCATAAGCCTAACACTGCCAAGTCCACCACTAAACCATGTCCCTAAGCACCACATCTACATGTCTTAAATACCTCCAAGGGTGGTGACTCAACCACTTCCCTGGACAGCCTGTTCCAGTGCTTGACAACCCTTTCAGTGAAGAAATTTTTCCTAATGTCCAATCTAAGCCTCCCCTGGCACAGTTTGACGTTTCCTCTCGTGCTGTCACTTGTTACTTGGGAGAAGAGACTGACACCCACCTCACTCCAACCTCCTTTCAGGGAGTTGTAGAGAGCGATAAGGTCTCCCCTCAGCCTCCTTTTCTCCAGGCTAAACAACCCCAGTTCCCTCAGCCGCTCCTCATGAGACTTGCTCTCTAGACCCTTCACCAACTTGGTTGCCCTTCTCTGGACACGCTCCAGCACCTCAATGTCTTTCCTGTAGTGAGGGGCCCAAAACTGAACACAGTACTCGAGGTGCGGCCTCACCAGTGCTGAATACAGGGGAATGATCACTCCCCTGCTCCTGCTGGCCACACTATTTCTGATACAGGCCAGGATGCCGTTGGCCTTCTTGGCCACCTGAGCACACTGCTGGCTCTTGTATCCTAACATTTCAGCTGAAGGACTCTTTAAAATACCTCATGTAGGCACACACACAAATAAATTTTGTGAAATTTGCTCCTTGGGTCTGCCATGTAACTGTTCGTCATTGAGGCATTCAACATCAGGCAACCTAAAAGCCTTAGTGAATCTACCCCACAAGCGGTCTGAAGTGTCGAGAGGGTCCACAACACCAATGGACAGGTGAGAAGCCCTATGGACATTTTTCAGCACTTTCTTTGAGAAAGTGATTGCAGGGACTGACATAAAAGTGGTTAAAGACGACTGGGGACAGGTAATTATTAACGTCTTTTTAAAGCTTGTAAGGAAGGTGGCATTTAGTTTAAGAGCTGAGGTAACAACAGAAAAATTACTTGATAACTGAATCAAATATTATATAAGCAGTCTTAACATGTTGGTATTGAAGGGACTGTTGTGCTTCAGTTTGCTGTCATGTCAGTGTATTTTTCCCATATGTTACATATGGCAGTAGAGAAGTGTGTGTGAAGAAAGTTAGTCCTTTTGTTGTGCTCTAATTCTTTATTTCTTTTCATTTCCCAATCCTTCTAGACTCCATAGATGGGAAACATGCTCGAAGGACTCAGTCCAGTACTCCTCTGGGAGAATTATTTGACCATGGGCTGGATAGCTGGGCTACCTCCATTTTTGTACTTTCTTTTTTTTCTGTCTGTTCCTGTGACAATGGGAAGACTGGAGTTTCTGTATATACAATGTATATATATTTAAGCATTGTCTTGTTTAACTTTATGTGTTCACACTGGGAGAAATATAACACAGGAGTTCTTTTTCTTCCTTGGGGATATGATATAAGCCAAGTGGTAAGTATTTATCATTCCTGTTTTGGTTTTATTTTTTTAACTATGTTAGTGTTTTCATAATATTACAGAAATAGAAAAACAGAGCTCAAAGCAAATACATTTGGCCAAGATTTTGAATGTGAAATAGCATAACCCTAAAAGTAATTCAGAAATATTTCCTGCATTTGCAAAGAAGGGACGCTTTTGAGCAAATTGTCAGCATCAGAGATTCATTGCCTTGCAGGAAAAAAAAGGCTTGCAGCAAGCCTAGCAGTCAGATAGTGCCCATGAGAATGTAATTTAACTGTATTTGATTTGTGGTGTTAACAAAAATTATGCTATCTGAAGCCATAAGCAATTTTCCCACCAACACTAGGTTCCAAGGCACGATGTGAATTAGTCCAAGTAGTATTTATTAACAGTTATACAGTTATACAATACTAGACCTTCTCAATTCTACCACCTCTTACATCAAATGTGATAGTGGAAATAGGATTGTACCTATACAGTGAGCGCTGACTGTTGTCAAGTGAGTTTTACCCTTGGAAAAAAGTCAAAGTCGTACCATTAGAGGTTTCCTCTCCAGGAATGGTGTTCAGTAACGTGAATTATGTATCAGCCCACAGCCAGTCCCCAGCTGAGTTCTTGACTGCCTTACAGCCCTACCTTGAGGTGGACCTTGTCAGAAACACGCCCAAGGCACCACAGTGAGTGGTGGCCTCAGTGCACAAATGAATAGCAGCAGTAACAAGCTCATTGCACTGCCAAGGGCCCAGCGCTGGGATTTCTGAGCTAGCTTATCTATTTCTTAGATAGCCAGGCTCTTGCAGCCTGAAGAGCACAGTCCCAGTCCTTCTGAGCTTCCTGTCACAGGCATGAGAGGAAAGGTACAGCCAAATATACATAATTGAAAAGAAGTTTGACAAATATTCAAATATGTGTTTTAATGGAAATATAGTATTTGGATTAATGACTGCAGATGTGTTGCTGTAAACATAATCAGAATCCAGTGGTTTGAGAACAACTCAGAGGTGGTGGTCCAGCTGTGGTGCATCTGTTTCATCCCTTAGAAAATAGGTTCTGGGAGAAGAAGTTGGCTCAGGACTAAGACATTAGGCAGCCAGCTGGTCTGCAAGTTTCAGCCATGTCTGTGCAAGGCTTCTTAGTGATGTTCTTCCAGCAGGAGAGGAATAGCTATGTTCAAACCAATTTCACTTGTTGCTCAGATGATCACTGTAGATCTACATGTGGATGTTTAGAAAGCTCTTTTGGATTGCTACAACACTCAAACTGTATTAGTGGTTAAATATGGGAGTGGGTATCAACTAGCAGAGCAGTACTGTTAACTCTGTCAGTGCCTTTTAGTGACCTATGCCTCTGTCACTGCTTTCCCATCTGGGAAATAATGGTAATAACATTTCCCTGCCTGACAGATCTGTGGTGAGGCTGAATTTCAGTAAAGTTTGTAAACTGCTTTGATTAACTTGGATGCAAGGTGCTAACAAGTGCTATTTCCTGTTCCCCTCTGATGCTGAATTGCTGTCCTGCATGCTTGCTTTCTAGTAACTTCTGTGATGATTCGCCTACAGTCAAAATGATAAGCATAGAGATGTAAGGATTTTTTGATGCTATATAGTGCAATCATCAACAGTGGTGGAAGACTGTACTATTGAAATGTCTGTATGTCAGTTTTTCCATCTGCAAAAATTAGCTTTTGTAGTTGTGATTGCCTATGAACAAAGAGAAGACAGGACTTGTAGATCAAAGTAGTATTTTTCCATTAGTTCAAACTACATTTCACGCACACCAGAAAGTACATAACATACTTTTTTCCAGCTGTACTAACTAGTCTAGTAAAAGATCTTAATGCCCCTACAAACATTGCCGTGCTCTTGTTTTGTAAACCCATTCAGCAAAACTTGTATGATGTGTGCACTATTAAAGGTAGCTCTTCAGCTACTTGAGGAGAGGATACTGAGGACATTAACAAATGGCTGATGATGAGTAAGAAAGATGATGTTCTCCTTGCTGTTTTTTTCCCACCAGTTCTCTGCCAGATATTCCCACAGTCACATTCAGAGGCACAGAGGGTGGAAGCACTCACAGGCTGCTTTCAGACTGATTCCTGGCATTTAGTTCAGTATTTCCTTCATGGTGTTCCTAGCTGGATTGCCACACGAATGTACCTCTTTGCGCTGTCTTAAATAATTTCATCGATAATATGATGCTATTGCATTGGCATGTTGGACATTCAGGTAGTCTAGTCCCCTGCTTCTGCTTTTAAAATAGATGGTAGCCAGGAACTTTGGACTTCATTATCCCCACAAAACTCAGGAAATACAGTAACTGATGTAAGTGTGCAAACAGATAACTGTTCACCTTAATGAAAGCTTAACTGGCATGTAGCTCCCAGGACACCGCTGCTGAGTCAGCTCCGCTGTATATAAACACAGACAGCCCTGGCTCTGTGTTAATTATGGTATAAAAAGAGTTGCTGTTCCTCGTGAAAAAATACCTCATTATAAATAGAGAAATTTGTGGGACTTATGCAGATCACATTTTTCTGCGACTTGATGGCTCGTCAGAATTGGTAACCTAATTATGCTAGCTGGGCTGTAATTGGCACTCCAATTAGCTTTGATTACAGCAGACAGACATTTATAGGAAGCTGTGGTTTGTAAACTTGAAAAATGGCTGTAATGTGTCTGAGAGATGCTTGGTCAGTGGACTGTTATGTCTGTGGGTCCAGAATCAAGGAGGAGGCATCTGCAGCAGTGAAAATTCTTCCTCTCTCTCCTCCCTCCAGCACAAGGATTTATCATCTCCTGCTGACTCCTCTGTGGGCAGAAAAAGATGCAAGGAGAGTAGCCTCTTTACACCATAGCATCTAGACAATTGTCATACACTTTTGAGTAAGCACACCTATTAGAAACCCCAAAAGTCATGGGCTGAAGAGAAGGCTAAGAAAGAAACCTTTGCTATGTTCTGTGAGAAATTCTCTTGGATAGATCTTGTGAAAACAAACACTTTTCTTTTTGTTACAAGCCCAACTAAAGAAAGCTAATATCTGCAAATTGAGTCTCTTGGAGAAAAAAAGACAAAGTTTTCCTGAGAAATTAAAACGTCAGACTTCCTGCCATATGTTAATTTTCACAGACATCCTCTTGATTTTTTAAAGAAAATCTATTTTCCTCCTGAAAAATGTAATATTCTCCTAATGAAATACTCCCCTAATCCTTCTGTTGCTTTTCATAAGCCACTGCAGTTGAGTTCATAGTAAGGGAACAAAATACTAATTTTCCCTTAATGTGATGTAGTGATACCTCTGCTTGCATCGGTGCTGCCTTAAGCGTAACAGGGAGGTACCCTTTGTATTCTTAAATAAAAGTTTAAAAGTGAAAATAAGAGCTGTGTGAGAGCTGGAGTGACCCAGATGATTCCACACTCCTTCCTCTCACTCTCCACAGCCAAGAGGGCAAGCTCGAAAAAGGCACAAAAGCACAAGCTTCAAATGTGAAAGGCAACAGGCAGCTCTCTCTGGCCCTACCCTAGCCCTGTAAGGAGAAGAGGATCAGAAATGCTATATACAGTCATGCCTGAAGGCATGGATGCTTGGACCATAAGCCCCAGGTTTTTGGTCTGAGATGCTTTCCCAGCGTGTTCTGCCCAGTGGCTTTGGATGGTCCCATCTAGGCTCTCGAGGAGAACGCTCTGCTTGCATTGAAACTCCAAATAAATGAAGTATATGATGCAAGTAGCAACTTAAGCACTGTAAAACTTACTTTTCTCCTTCCTTTCAGTCAAAACAGGGGAAGAGGTTTTTTTGGATGTCATATACCAAGTTTTCTTTTGAGAAGCAGTTTACAAAGCTTCTGCTGAAATATGTTTTGTATAGCCTTTTCCTGGGAAGTACTGCGGCAGCCAGTCTTTCAGGAACCGGCAAAGAAATCCCAAGCAATGCAAGTGCATATCATGTCTTTAAAAAACTTCTATATCCTCTGAAGGACAAAAAAAAAAGTCTCTATTAAGAAGAAAAATGAAGATGCAAATGTGTCATTCTTTGGTCACATTATCAGGGTTCGGAATCTTTTTATTTTAGTTAAAAAATACTCAATTTCAGAGTTTTTCTGAGAAAATTTGAAGTGTCTGTGGAAAGCATAGCCTTTCTTGTGAAGAAATAATATTGATTATTATCCAGTGCAATAGGTAGGAGTGCACTGGAATTGTTGAAGTAAAAGAACCAATAGTGGTATGGAAGCAGTGCTGGCCAGGCCATGGTGTCTGCTTCCAGCTGCCTCCTGACACAGCTGGAAACCAAACTCAGTACTCAGTTATCGGAGGGAAACCCCATAGCGTATCCATATGAAATTTAAACAGAAGAACCTGCGGTGCACAGGCTCTTTCTGCATCAGATTGCTTCATTCTTAACCACTCAATTATGATTCTACTCAAACCTTTCTTGGTTAATTAATCTTCCAGGTGCTTCAGCTGTTTACCTATCACATACTACATGTCTAAATGCAAAATGACCTTTTAAAAACATATAAACCCCCTATTTTTATAGGCTAAATTTGCCACCTTTAACTATTAATTGAAAGAAAAAATACTAAGAAAAAATTAAAATGGAAAAATTACACATCATGCTAAATTTAACTCCTATTGAAATGACTTGTAGGAAATTGTCAGGTTTTACTTTTTTAGGCAAGCATTGTATTTATTTTCAGAGGGAAAAAGTAACCTTGTATTTTAAATTACTTTGCTTTCTAGATGTTCAGTTTGAGCACTGTGTTAATGGAAAATATTTCAACACATGAACAATTAATGCTATTGGAATATGCCAGTGAAATTGAATATTATAGTAAAATTAATGTCATTTTTTATAGAATCATAAAGAATTTAAAAGCATAGCCAGTGTATTTTAAAAAAAGAATGAGAACCCGTGTAGTACATCATGCAGCATACTCAATGTGCCTGTTTGTAAAACAGAAAGGGTAAATCATTAGGGAGGAAAAAAATGTATGTACATACACACACAGTCTAGAACATTTTAGTCACAAAACTTACACCTGCAGTAGTGGAAAGAGATGAAAGAGATGGTGGTTTTAAAAAGTCAAGTATTTTAGAGAACAATTAAAAGACTAGAAGCTAGGAGATTTTGAGGAGTTGTACTGCCTTATGGTTATATAGGATTCTCCCAATGCCATGTTAAAGAAGTAATATTCTGATTTCACAGGGGGAGAAAAGTGACTGTTGTGATTTACAAAGCCGTGACAATACAGGGAGCCACTGCTCAGAAGCCAGCTGTCCTGCTGTTCAGCCATAGGCTGCCATATCAAAGTGCCTACAAATTAACACCATGCTGGATTTTTGTCTGCATTAAGTAATATTGCCTCCTCACAGATAAGGCCTTGACAAGCCAAAAATTTGCCTGGTCAGATGCTGCAGTGAGCTGGAATCCAAGATTGTATATATCTGACGCTAACTTGCTATACAATCCTTACTTGTGTTACTTAATTTGGACTTCTCATTTTACACAAGGTTGTAATTATTTTTACTTGCTAAAGACTAGATTTATATCTGAAAAATACTGATTGATGCCAGAGAGATGAATAAAAAACTTGGCTGGCTTTTCTTAAGCAGAATTATTCAGTTGCACTTAGGAAGACTGCTGTACATTTTAATTATTTTTTTTTTTACCAGCAGTGCCTTTAAAAACAGTCACAATTTTATACAGCTGTATAATTATTAGCTTTTGTCTAATAATTTTGGCAATCTTCAATTTTTGCTAATATACCTTAGACCAAGGGACCCAGCCATTTTCTTGTCCTTCCAGCTTTCTAAAGGTCTTTGAGACTGCCTCAGTGAAGTCAAAGTGGTTATTGTTATTGATTTCAGTGATAGCAGAATCTCAGTTACAAGTCCTTAAAAAACAACACACCAAAAATTTGAAGCCAAAGAGTGTTTTCCATACATAACATCTGTTAAATAAGAGGCAATCTCAACCTCTGAGTGCTGCATCCCAGTGCAGGGCATTCCCCTGACAGAGCCCGTTGCACAGACGCTCCTGTTCCTAGAGGTGTGCTGACATCTGGCAGCGATACTCATGACTGCACTGCCAAAAGTACTGACTGTATTAACAGATGATACTGAAGTTCCTCTTTTATCACTTGACAAAAAAAGTCTGTTCAGAATTCAACGTGTGAGGGTAAACTCAGCCTCCATCAAAGCCAGTTGGAGTTTTGCCATCAACTTTGATGGGGCCAGGAGTCCATCCATCATGTCTTATGGATAACATAATGCAACTTCTTCAGAAAGCCAAATGTTAGCTCTGTTGTAGTCAGTTGTAAAACCCATTATACACGTCCTTCATTTAGACCAAAATTTGACTCACTGTCTTCAATGGCCCAAGATGTAACTCTCATGCTAGTACCTGCTGTTCTCCATTGCAGATCTGTTGCGCTGCTTGTTCTTGCAGAGGCAATTCAACCATCCAGTTCTGCAGTGCCCCATTCAAGCAAAACTTTTTAAAAGTTATGTACTGATAGGGCAAGAATCTTGACTTTAGATACAGAGAAGTAAGTGAAGTCAAATATAGCAATATTTAAGTGTAATAGGGAGTTTAATGGACATCAGTGTTCTGTTACTAACCTGTGATGTTAAGCAACCTGCTATCTAGAAAAAAGATCTTCGGTGTACCTTTAAATTAAAACAATTAATTTAATTTAGAAGACTGGAAATGTGTTTGTTAAAGTTAAAAATGAAGAAAAACTATAATACAGTAAAAAAAGAGTATTCTAAAAAAAAAAATTAAGATCTATTGTACGATTAAAACTGTAAAATATCTGTCATCCTGGAGTGAGAAGCTGTATTGAACAGAAAAAATAAAAGTTACTGAATGTTACCTGGGAATAGATATATGAATATGCAGTCTTCTAAATGGCATTATAATTAACATAGTTAATAATTTACAGCTGAAGTAAATGTTTGCAATTCATTGTTAATTCAAGTCTAGAATAGTTCAGGAGGTTGAGACGTGTAAAATGAAACACACAGCTCCTTACGAGTCCTATAGCAAAACTAAACAGCTGAAAACAAAATAGCCTGGAGAAAGAGCAGGGCAGCAGTCCTGCTAGCTGGGTGCCAGCAGCAGCAGGGGCTGCAGGGAGTGGGTGGCCTGGGCTAAGCCAGGGAATGGGTTTCAAAGGAGAGGGGGTCCCCTGAGGAGGTGGGGTCAAGGGCGCAAGGGTTTGGGAATCGCTGTATCACGTTCAGTACTGCACTTGCACGTTACACACCTAACATGGTAAAGCTTCAACAGTTCGTGCCATAAACTGGCAGTAGGCAGTGCTGCTGCAAGCAATATGATGGGTGTGAAGGTTACAGCGATGGGAGATACATGGTTTTGCCTGCATTAAGATTTCTGACCTCAGCTGCATCACAAAATTAACTCTGATGAGAGAGTAGAAACTACATCTACATCACTACTGAAACTGGTGGCACTTCGGCATGTTAAATGACTCAGGAGTGTTGTGTTTGAGTCCTTTGCTCCTAATGACCTTTGACTGCTTGTTTCTTTCTGTGTCCTGTAACAATGTTACCTGTCAAAAATCAGGGAAGACTTCAGCTCCCGCCCCTTCTTTTTATTTCATCACATTCGACTGAATTTTTTTATTTTTTCAGGAGAGCTTAGATTTTTTTTTTCCCCCTCTCAGTTGCTCTGATACGATCAGTTCAGGAGGCTGAGCTACAAAACTAACCATATATTGCTAATTCTGTAGTCTGCATGCAAATACAAGAAAGTGCATATGCAGTGGGGAGACCTGCAATTAAGAAGGGATTTAGAAATTGGGTGTTTTGAAAAGGTAAGTCAGTAAGACTTACCACATTCAAACAGGTGCACACATTAGCAGGGAAGTTACTTGCTTATCATATGAAATACATTTTAAATAATTTTGTTGGTGACCCTGGAAATTGCTTCATTGCTTAGAAGTAATTGTTTTGGGATAACAGCATAAGGTCCTGTAAAGTGGAGAGAGGAGGAACATAACAGGGTTTTTTTACTTTTGCATTTGTATTAAGATGATAAGCAAAATTCTGTACCTTTAGAAGTAAAGGACTGAAAATATGTTATCCTTTTTCTCTAGGTATTAATAGCAGCATATCTGCTTACCGGTGCTGTTGGTGTGGAAGTCTGGCAGAAGCCTTTCCTGTTTGGTTATTACATTACAGATGCATTAGTAATCTTGCTTATAGGTAAGTGTCCAGATCCATGCAAAATTGCACTGCTTTTTAATTATTTTGATTAGATATTTCTTATATTTCCTTCATATATTTTTTTCCTTTTGTAAGTGTTGGCTAGTCCAAAAACCCACATGAATAGCTCCTTAAAAGGCCTAATACTGGAAAACTTTTAAAAAGTAGATAATTTTGGAAAAAATTTTCCTTACCAGATTGCTATCTGTTGTACACATATACACATATATGTTATATACAATAATACAGAAAATGTTCCTTATCTGCACGTGCAGTTCAGTCCTGTGTGCTGGCTGGCTGGCTGGCTGGCTCTCAAAGTCTCAGGAACTCCTCATATCACTTGGGTAAAATGTTGCTCACATTTACAGATAATAAAAGTTTAATGTTTTGGCCTGCAGCACACCATGCTCCAAAACATTATGGGTAGAAGGAATAAAGGTATTATTTAAATAATCTTAGGAGGCACAACTGTAAATCTGAAAAAAAGCCAAGTGGTTTCTAAGCTCTTCTTTAGAATTACCTTCCGAACTGAAGTGATGCATTTTTCATACACAGCAATAGCCTATTTGCTCATTATTTGATACTGTCAGTGTAGTTTGAAATAAGCCTCGAACATTTTTCAACTGCTATAGCTAGACTGAGAACAAGAGCAGTTACATTTTAATGAGTTAAAGACATGGTAGTCTTAGCTAAAAATGTGTGTATGCAAAACAGCTTTGATGTGTTGCTTGGAAGGTGAAGGAATTAGCATATAAAATTTAGGGATTTTTATATGAGCATACAAGTGATGAGAAGAGGACACCAAAAAACCTGTTTGACACAGACAGTCTAGACTTATGTCTAGAAATGTCTTCAGTCCTTGAGCCAAATGGAGGACTTCGATATAGGTGCTTACCCAGCACCAACTCTAACTAGGAGCCGTCTGAGGATTTCAGGGGGGACTTTTGAATCCACTGCATTGACATGTGCTCTCACCACCCTTTCCCCATGGTGAGGTCTTCAGCAGGTACCGCCTCCAGCCTCAGCAGTGCTTCGCTGAGTTCCCAGGTCGGAAAGGACCCTGCGTTCAGGCTGTGCTTTCTAATGAGCAGCATGTACAAGGACATGGTTTTGACAGTCCTTTGTGCTTTACCCAGAGTATAAAACCGACCGTGTGTGACCAAGACTGTACAGTCTTCTTCTTGTCAGGCCTGTTTTAGGCACTCAGAGGAAAAGAAAGGAAGGAGGGAGAAAAAGACAGTGGTTGCCTCTTCAGTAGTCAACGAATTATTCAGCTTGCCAGAGGTGTAGCTATAACATGCCCTCTGGTGGCTGGCAGGGCACTGAGGGGTAGAGACTGATTTGTGCTCTCGAAGGAGCACCACAGGTCCAGAAGGGATGGGTGCTGGCTCGCCCAGAAGCAGCAGCTTAGGCCTGCGTTGGCATTAGGTGCTAGCACGGGGTAGTCCATTGAACAGGCTTGTTCTGTGCTGTGCACATCGCTGCTTTTGTTCCTGTCACTAAGGCACACGACAGCCCGTTCAGTGAGTACATTGATGGCTTCCCTTGTGCTTGGGAAGCCATGGATGAAGGTTTAATTCAAACTGTTCAACATATTAGGAAGGTTTGTGGTAGGGAAGCATGTCGATGTCATCAAATCTGCAGAAGCGAGCATCCTTTTTCATAGTCTATCAAAAACATCTGCAAAGCAAGGTTTGATGGACTGTTCCATTAGCATTAGAAAGAAGTACTGCTTCTGTCTCATGTGGTACACTTGGAAGAATGGATTCGTGAGCAGAGAATTGAGTATTTCTTCCATCATTGTCCCAAGCAGAGTAGGCATAAGTAAGAGCCAAAAGATATCTTTAAAAACATTGTCTTTCGTACACTATGCACAATGCCATTAATAAGGCAACTTTTGCATCTTAATTATAGTTAAATATGGGTTTAAAGTGTGCAAGAAATTATCTTGGTTGACTCCATGTTACAAAATTGGCACAGTGCTTAGTCAACCTCTTAAAAACAGGCACTACATTTAAATATTAAAAAAGTAGAATCCTTCCACTGAGGATCACGCTGATCCAGAAAGCACTGCCTTTTCACCACAGGTTTGACTCTCAGCTCAGCGGTAGTGATTAAGGTGGTTGTCATTGGCTAATCTGTGTGCAGTGAGTATGGATATATAAACTTTTTAGAAGCTCGCAGTAAATTGCAGGACCCCACTGTGACTGTAGCAAAAATATCGGTCTACCCTACACCAAGGGCCGAGCAGCCAAGAAGATGAAATTATTCTCTTCCTTACAGAGGCTGCAGCAAGTGTGTCTTGCTCAGCCAGATCCATGCCAGAGCCCACTCTCTGGCATGCTCAGTTACATGCCTTTGTGGCTAGTTAAAAACCAAAGCAATGTAGTGAGCCTCTGATGCTTTTTATGAGTTAGTTTCCCAGGACCCCGAGAGGAGCTATTAAACTGTAACTGGCTGTCCTTAACCATCTGATGGCATTTAGTAGTCACTAGTGGTCCTTCTAACAATGAACCTGTAGCTGCTCCATCAATACTTGGCATTTGTTTCGTGCTTTTACTGTTCTGTACACAGCAGGAGTTCAGCTGCTGAGCCATCACTTCTCTGAGAACAGCTGGGCTTTAGCTAGTACCTTCTGTAGTGGGAAGATATCCAGATGAGATGCACAAGAGTGGAGTTTTTCAGATGTCTTTCCTGGAGTTTCTGGGGGAAAAAACAAAAAGAATAGCCCACATATAACCTAAGGATGAACTCTGCAAAAGCACCTCCTCAGAGGAATCTGTGGTATCTCCAGGTGACACTCACTCGCTGAAAATAATGGAATTTTTATCAAGTGCCAGAACACACAAAGATATACATAAAAGTACAGCAATACCGGTGTTTAGATTAGATGTTTTAGGAAGGCCTCCCAAGACAGAGCTTTATGCATGTCCCTGGGAACTGTCTAGCACACTGTGAACACCTGTAAGAAAGCCAAGTCTTGGGCTGCTGAACAGTGACCTTGGAGGACTCCTCTGTGAAGCACAGAAACTTCTGCGTAGTATTTTATGGGAATTTTTCAGCTACCCGGCAAACAGAAACCCGTAATTTTCACAGGCAGTGAACACAATTCCACCCTGAAGCCTCAAAACACACACCTAGCTGGATACCAAACAAACGAAGAAGGCCATTCTCCTGTTTCCAGAGTGTGTTGTCCTGGCTGCTAGCCAGAAATGCCTTTTCTCTCCTAGCATGAAAGCAGCCAGACCTTTCTAAAGTTATGTGCCTGTGTCCTCAGCTGGAACTAATTAATTCTGCTCTCAGGAAGGCTCCTGTGGATGACACTCCAAAAGCTCTCTTGGGATTTAACCACAATTGTCCCATAGCATTACCTGGCTAACTAGGGTCCCTTCAAAGGGCAGCACTGGGGTGAGAGCTATCATTTATTTTCACCCCTCCAGGGTATCACGAATGCCTAGCCTTCCCTGTCACTGTGCTATCAGGTTGAGTGCAATATAAAATATTTACAATAAGCATTTTAAAACAGTCAGTTCCCCACATAAAGTCTAGTACCACAAATGATGGTATAGACTTCATAAGAAGATTTTCACTGACAAGTAAACATCAGTAGTTCAGGGAGCAGAGTTACTAACTGATGATACTTTCTGTCTCACATTACAATTAAATGACCTGTAATAGGTGCATGTTCTGATTGAAGCATTTCCCATTCTTGGGACATTCATACTTGCTCTCTATGAGATAGATTTTATAATGTCTAATAAAATTTGAGTTCAGGCTGCAATCCTCTCCTCACTGGAGACATTTATAGGTCTGTTGTCCTCTACTTGCCTGTTCATTTCCATGCAACTTACTGGAAATCTCTTTCAATCTATTAAATTTGTTCAGAATTGACCAGAGGGCTCAGAAGTTATGGTGGGATGCACACAAACAAGCAAAGTGTTATCACGTCATCTTTATGCCTTAGGAAGCCAGGTTGGAAAAATGACTCCTGGATGCACAGAAAGATTCCTGCTCCTCCTCTGTATTAATTGCAAACACAAGAATAGGCTTTGTGGTTAAAGGACCACTGAAGCATGGAGTGGATATGTTGTACTTCATCAGTGTGTGGCACATGGGGCAAACAGTTCTGTAATCCAGACATGGTGGCACATTTGAGTCCACGCTATGTGGTCAATAGTGCCCAGATCTGGCTATTGAAGCCTGTGGCAGAGCTGGGACAAATTTTCAAAGTACAGGTTTGAACATGAAATGTGAATGGAGTGCTAACATCTGTCAGAGATCTGAAACTTGAACTTTCTTTTAGAGATGGGGCCAAAGCATTCAGAATTTTTTCCTATGATTTGTATTGGATTGGGTTCTGTGCTGATTTGCAGAGTGTGTGTTCCTTGATGTTCATTCCTTCTCTGAGCTACTTAAGTATATAAAATGAGGAGTAAATACATTAATCAAAACATAATAGCAGCAACAAACTAATGATGAGACCAAGCCACAACATTTGAAACATGCCAAATATTTGTATTCTGTCATAACAGGAAAGCACAGTTATCCATGTAAAACAGTGCCTTGTCCTTACGCTGTGTCCTGTATCCTAGGTATCAAACGAGGGCACAGAAGTCCTTGCAGTGGGTAATCATACAGCAGCCTGTCCTTTTTTCAGTGTCAGATGTCTTTAGGAGGCCATGGTCAAATCATAAATTGTTTCTGCCTTGTACGGATAAGTCATTCTGTAGTGATTTCCTATAGTTCCCATTGCAAAGTGGCTGATGGTTCTGCCTTACTGATGGACAGTTGAATGATTAAATGTTAAGTGATATGTTTTCAAAATGTTATCGCTCCGTCAGGCTTTGACTAGCCTTGCTTGAAATGCGTGTTTAACATGAGTTGGCTTCTACATGTCTGTCACCAATTTAACATTTATTAAAGCATTGCTGTGACAGATTGTATGAGAATTCGTTGAAGTAAAGGGTGTGAAATACTCACCTATCACTTGAGATATATAT